AGTCAGAGAGAACGAGCGACGCGTTGCTGCCATTTACACGCCGGAGCAGCCAGACGAGCATGTCCCCCCCCCCCCCCCCCCCCCCATTCCCCACACCTTAATATAATTCGTTTGAGTTTCACTGAATGTTAATCACTGGACTTGGGCCATGAAGAAGATCCTGAGGCCTTCCTGAGGATGAAGACCTTGAAGCGAGGTGGTCCTCGTGTCTTCACCCTTTTCGTGTTCCTTCGCATTGGTCTATGAACCAACCCACCCACCAGCCGCACCACCATCAGCAGCAGCAGCTCCTGCCTCCCCCCCAAACGCAGCCATCTGCCAGACGCCTCAGTCGTTAATAGCGTCGCCCTGACGAGGAACGCTTCTCAGTCGTGCAAAGGTCAGGCATTTCCCTGGCAGTTCCGCCCCCACCATAGTAATCAGAGTGCCGTATCGCACGGGAAGGATGAATGCAATTTCGGGGGATTCAATGGCTGATGTCTTTTTCTTTTTTTTGTTTTTACCTTCCAAGATTTCATAGCATTTTACAGTTATTTTGCTGTGAATTTGATTGTCAGACGGCACATGAAGTACAGTCACTGCGGAACGCCCGCCACCCACCCACTGTAAGATAACAGGGGTCATGGGTCGTTTATTGTCTAAGGACACTGGCTTCTTCATTTCCACGGGGGCCGTTTGTTGTTTGACCATTTGTTTGTGAATGCGTTTATTTTTTTTTGGGAACTTCTGGGTCCTGGGCAGAGTATGAGCTCTTTCAAGGTCACCTATGAATTTTTTTTCTTTTTTTTTCTTTCTTTCTTTCAATGCTACTTTGACCGTTTCAGGATACGGCGATGTCCATATTCCGCCCACTGGCTGCCTTCAGTCAGGATCTTCCCATTAGCCTGTTCAGAGTAGGGGGAAGTTTGCAGGAGATCCCTGCATGAAAGACATTGAAGTCGCATCGAAAAAGAGGCGCAGCTTCAGGACTGATTTTTCAGGGTTTTTATCTTTTTCTTGTGTCTATTTTGTTTATTTCGCGATCCCCAAAGACAAGTCTGTCCCGAAGACTCAGCTCAATTATCCAGGTTCTTTGTAGTCTAAACGAATATTATCTAATCGCAATACGATTAGGGTGACAGTAGCATACGCAGCGATATGTCAGCCTCAGATGCTGGGAGCGGGTGCTGACCTTGCGGGTGAAGTTTGGGGGCTGGGCCATGCGAGTGTGCGCGGGGGGGGGGTTAGTCGGAGGCGTGGAGGGCGCTGTGGTTTCTAGCTGAAACAATTGACAGGACCCTGTGGATGAAGGATGGGGGGAGGTTGTGGAGGAGAGGGATGTGGGGCAGAGGGGACAGACACTTCTAATTAGTGACATCCGCCAGCAATGGGAGACAGATGTGCGGCACGGTGACAGGAAGTCCGCGGGGACACCGCAGAGCGCGGCGCAGCAGGGAAGGGGTTTACCGACGAGGCTTGCAGGGGCCCTGCCGGCTTCCTGCGGCCGCTTACCTGCAGGTTGCTAACAGCAGCAGCCTCTGGGTAGCTGAAGTTACTTGTCCATCAGTGAACACTGACCCCTGAACACTGAAAGGAAGCCACCCCCCAGCTTTAAACCCAACTTCCAGGCTGAAACGACCAACTGTCATGGTGTTGAGTTAAATGGCGACTCTCCGCCATTCTGTTCCGCCATTTTTGGCTGTGCGCCTTCTCGACTTCGGGAATGTGATAAAGCAAACCCGCCTGTCGACAAGAACATCTTCACGCTAGTCCCGATGACGTATGCTGCGTTTAGTCACTTGTTTGTCAGCGTTTATTCTTGACTCATGTTATTTATCTGTGTTATTTCGTCTAGGATCCCATTCAAGATTGGACAACCGAAGAAACAGATTGTTTCAAAAACGGTAAGCTTGTTTTCCGTAGCTCCATCTATCAACTTATTGACATATGATCATGTTTGTATTTTATTCACTGGCTGTACTGACAGGTCTTGATATGGTCGGTGATGTCATTGAATATGCAACGTCTTGCCGAGGGGGTGAATGTAGCAGTTCCCTGTGGCGCAATCACTAAATGTCACAGATTTCTTGTTCCTGATGGGCCGCGTTTGGAGCCTGGATGGTCAGGTTGAAAGGGTCTCGGTTTTTGCCCAACTGATTTACGCAAGCTCATCTGACTTGCTGGTGAAGGCTTGCTGGTGAAGGCTTGCTGGTGAAGGCTCGCTTCAGCAGTATGCTTCCAGTTGCGACATTTTGCCTCTGGATTTCGCCGGCTTTCAGACGTCACCAGATGAGTTGCTTTTTGGCTTCCCCTGAAGGAAAGCGAAGGGGAGATCTGTATGTTTTGTGTGCATGTGTATGTCTTGTCACACATCATGACTGATGAGGTTCCTCAATGAACATCTTTGGCTGACTCCTCCCCTCACCTCAGTCCCCCTGTAACCTTCACTCCCTTGTTGCCCCAGGCAGCCGGCTCAGGTTTTCTGATGGCTTCTGCCATAGCTGCTCCCAAAAGACCAAGGATCAGACATGAATATTCCTGTGAAGGTTCCCACAAGCTCCTTCTTCTACACTTTGGCAAGAGCTGGGCAGGTTTAAGCCTGACGATTGTCATCATTTCTATTCCCCAAGGTCCTTGGACCCTGAATGTAAATCTTATGGAAGCCTTTGAATGAACGTTTGCTTTCTGTAATAAGCTGAAGTATATACTCTTGCCCCCCACCTTTATTCGGTGGAGTTAGGGCTATGAATTTGTCCCACTCATGCACTGAGGTGAGTGGGCACCCAGTCCGCTGGGGTGAAACCACTTCCACTGTGACATCAGAGGCCCGGGCCCTGGGAGCGGGTGGGCTGGCGGGGGGGCTGGCTGGCCCTTTGGAGCCTCTCCAGAGACGAGTTGGCCGCTTCCTGCCCCAGTGTTTGTTTATCCCGAAGCCCACGGAACCCCCCCCCCCACTGCCTGGAAGTGGATCGGCCTGGGCTGGCTGGAACAGCTGGGCCGAGGCCTGGGGGGCTCGGGGTGGCCCCGGGGGATGGCCACCGGAACAGCGGTGAGCGTGCAGGAGCCAGGTGGGGGGGGGGGGGGACGTGTTGCTGGCTTACTTCTCGAAGTTGTTTCCAAAATAGATGGTGCTTCAGGGTACGAGGGGAAGCCCCGTCATCAGTGAACATTCCTGACATGCCAGTCGATTGGGTAATGCCCCCAAAATGCACATGTGCACAGTACACGGTCACACTATCAGGCAATCATATGCTACCTTCGCCAGCTAGGGTGCCGTCCGAATGGACGGGGGCTTGAGTTACTCTGCTGGAAGTGCCTCAGGTGAGACAGTTGTGCCAGCAGTGAATACCACCCACCTTCTCTGATCGTATCTGTCTTTTTCCCTTGAGAATGACGTTTGTGAATTGACCATGAGAAAAAAATGCCTACATTAAACAAAAGAGGGAAAACACATGTGACCCCCCACCCCCCCACCCCACCCAGTGTCTTATGAAAGACGTGCGTGATGATCGTCACACCAGGACACGCTGAGGACCACAACCTCACGGTGTCTGGGAGCCCAGCTCTGTGTCATCGTCAGAAATGCAGGTCGACACTCACAGTGAAAACCACTTTCAGTGATCACGGTTATAGTGATCAGCCACTTATATAGATCAAAAATCTTGGGGCAGAATAATTCCTGTACTGATACTGTTTAAATAACTCGCTTATAGTAATCAAGTAGTCCGTGTTCATTTTCGGGTTTTTTAAACATGACAGTAACTTGTCTGCTTCTGTCTAGTTACCTGAGGCTAATGTTGTGCGCACAGAAAACATGACGGGAAATAGAAAGTGATTATCTCTCAATGACAAATGTAGACCCATTAAAGTTTATGATAAACTGCCAAAAACGAGCCACCGAGATGCAGCATTGAAGCTACAATAAGCTGTATTTTATGTACAGTACTGTACTGTATTATCGCGTATTTGAATTATACACAGTTCAATCATTTTATTTGTCCAGTACTGTAACTTGAAAAGCGTTGGAAATGGCTGTACTATATTTTTAGAGTCAATAAAATTTAGTAAGTAGCAACGCTGTCAGTTTTATTACCTTATATGCATGTAACACATATACAGATCTCAATTAGATGGTAATCTGCTTGAGACAAAGGAAAAGAAAAAAAAATCAGTTATAATGATCATCCGCTTATACCAGGGGTGGCCAATCTTATCCGCAAAGGGCCGGTGCGTATGCAGGTTTTCGCTGCAACTCCCTAATTAGATTACTAATTAGAGGACTGATTGGCTGAAGAGTCCTCACACCTGGGTTTGAACAGCTGACCTACAGGTTATCCCAAAAACTTGCATACACACCGGGACTTTGCGGATAAGATTGGCCCCCCCTGGGGTATACCGATCAATGTCACCCAGACCGACGTGATCACTATAAGCGGTTTCCACTGTAACTGAAATTCCAAAGAAACTGAAGTTTTTATCCCATAGTTGGGCCAAATTGTCACCCTTTTGGGATTCTGCCATCATCAGTGTATTACTCTACACATGCTGTTATTATCTATGTGGTATACTGTCCACACGTTATTAGTATCTATGCAGGTTACTCTGCACATGCTATTAGTATCTATGCAGGTTACTCTGCACATGCTATTAGTATCTTTGCGGGTTACTGTCCACACATTATTAGTATCTATGCAGGTTACTCTGCACATACTATTAGTATCTATGTAGTTTACTGTCCAGACATTATTAGTATCTATGCAGGTTACTCTNTTAGTATCTATGCAGGTTACTCTGCACATACTATTAGTATCTATGTAGTTTACTGTCCAGACATTATTAGTATCTATGCAGGTTACTCTGCACATGCTATTAGTATCTATGCAGGTTACTGTCCACACATTATTGGTATCTATGCAGGTTACTCTGCACATGCTGTTAGTATCTATGTGGTTTACTGTCCACACATTATTAGTATCCATGCATGTTACTCTGCACATGCTATTAGTATCTATACAGGTTACTCTGCACATGCTATTCGTATCTATGCGGGTTACTGTCCACACATTATTGGTATCTATGTAGGTTACTCTGCACATACTCTTAGTATCTACGCAGGTTACTGTCCACACATTAGTAGTGTCTATGCAGGTAATTCTGCACATGCTATTAGTATCTCTGCAGGTTACTCTGCACATTCTCTTAGTATCAATGCAGGTTACTCTGCACATTCTCTTAGTATCTATGCAGGTTACTCTGCACATGCTATTAGTATCTGTGCGAGTAACTGTCTATGTAAATTATATCTATGCAGGTTACTCTGCACATGCTATTGGTATCTGTGCGAGTTACTGTCCACACCTTATTAGTATCTATGCGGGTTACTCTGCACATACTATTAGTATCTGTGCAGTTGGTCATACACTGTTAGTATCTGTGAGGTTACTGTCCACACGCTATTAGTATCTGCAGCTTACTTTATGTTTGTGTGTGTGTGTCACTTTGCGCATGTTATTAGTGCATGTGTGTGTGTGCGTGTGTTGGCTGCGCTGACTCATTCGGCAGGTGGGGTTTGACAACAGCCCCTTCACTCCCACTGCCCTGGCAAAGGCCTCCGTTCTCCAGT